CTTACAGCTTAAATTAATCCATTTCTATTAGTCTATACCTTGCCACGTGGCTTGTGGCTTACCGGTACTTCACATGCAGCTTGTCATCATGGCGGCTGGCAGTGTCTCTCTCACCCAGCTTCCTGTTTTCTCTATTCTCCTCTCTGTTAGTCCCGCCTATACTTCCTGCCTGGCCACTGCCAATCAGTGATTTATTCATTGACCAATCAGCAACACATTTGACATACAGATCATCCCACAGCAGTTCTGTTTGCACTTATCAGTAGCTTGTCTTCTTTCTTACTGCTGAGTGGTTTCACATGTAAATATGAGAGTTTATCGGTTCACCAGTTTAGGTTTGGGGATGCAGCATCCTGTAAAGACTCACGAGTTAAAGGCTTAGTCCCTTTGGGTAGCACTCTTGAGAAGAGTTTGGATCCTGAGGACCTTCTCAGTGGATTCAGTGACATTATTGGAAGGTGGAGACTAGTTGGCCTAAAGCAACTGAGCCAGTTGACCATGGTCTAACACATTTGAAACCATGACCAAAAAAGAAGTCCTTCCTCCTTCAACTTATTTTTTTGCTGACATTTTGTCACAGTGATGATAAGCCAAACATGGGAGTTAGTGAGATGGCTTGCCACCATGATGGAGGACCCATCACTGGAACTGACATGGTTGAAGGAGAGAACTGACTCCTCAACGTTGCCCTCTGATCACATGCACCATGACACATGGGTACACTAGTACACACAATCTGTTAATTAATCAATCAATAAACTAACTTTGAAAAAGAAAGGCTGTACACTGGTGCTACCATTTGTATTGGCTTCAGCCTTTGGCAGTCATTAGCAAAGCATACTCAACCACTTCTATATGATCGTTTTACAGCTAGATGTTTATATTTCTCTTGAGTAAATACCTAGGAGTGAGGCCATTGGGTTGCATAGTAATGAATAATCCTTTGATCATTAAGATTTGATTTCCTTTGCCCTTCTCCCTTCCTCCTTTTTTATCAGTTACTTTTCCTCTCCATCACCTAAACTGGATCCTTCTTCATTTCATACAACTCTACTGAAATGTTTGTATATTTGCCTCCTATCAAACTCACCCACAAAGTCCCATCCCACTGCCCTTTTGCTCTGTACTACTGTGGAACTACCTTATGTATCTTGAGAAAAATCATTCATGGGATATGAGTGGGTGATTTCGAATCTCAAATGTGCCCCTAACACTGTGGGAAAATCTATGTATTTCTGGTTAGCAGTTCTCTTCCCGTCAGCTATCTCGGAACAATCTCCTAACTCGCATTAGGCCCCATTTCCCACCTCCCTTCTGCTGTGTGATCGCAGTAGGGAATCCCTCAGACTCCCTTAGTTACATTTCTCCTTGCATGCACTCTCTTGCCTCCCTTCCATCTGTTCTGAGGAAGACTGTGAGTTGCCTCTGGCTGCCTGGGGCCAGTCACTCCATCTGTACTTCTCCAGAACCTTCACTTGTAAGATGCATCTTGCTCTGCATCTGCATTTCCTCTCTCTCCAGGGGCCACTTACCACTCCTTACAACTGGCTTGTTTGCTATTTCTTGTCTTTCTTTACAGAATTTGTCATCCTTTAAGGCTTTATACTCCCAGGCAGGGAAGGTTCTCCATTTCAACCTGGATAGGGACCCATGGCCTCCTGTTGGAACTAAGATCCTTGGAGTGCCAACAAAGCCAGAGGAGTGAGGCCTTGGTGTCTTTGAAGGAGATTCATACCTCCCAAGCTCAGGGGCCCACAGACTAGATACTCATGAACTCTCAGGGTCCTAAGGAGATGCTTAAAAGGCTGCCTAAGATAAGCTATGTCAAGGCGTCACTCAAAAAGACCTCTCTCTCATCTACTTCATTAGACAGTATTTGGAACAAACAACAATGGCAACAGCTGAAGTTGTGTCTTGAGAAAGGGTCTCACTATGTTTTCCAAGCTGGCTTCCAACTTGTGATCCTTCTTCCTTAACCTGAGTGCTAGAATTACAGATGTGTACCACTGTGTTCAATTAATATTGATAAGTTTTAAAACAACTGCCTTCGAGCTGGGGCTGTAGCTCAGTTGGTAGAGTGCTTGTTAAGATACAGAAAGCCCTGGATTCGAGCTCCAGCATCCCTTAAAACCAGCATGGCGGCACAGGCCTGTAATCTTAGCACTCAGGAAATGGAGGCAAGAGGAGCGGAAGTTCAAGATCGTCCTCTTTGGCTATAACAAATTGTAAGCAGCATGGAAAACGAAAGCAAGCAAGCAGAGGCTGGAGAGACAGCTCAGTTGTTAGGAGCACTGGTTGTTCTTGCAGAGGACCTGGGTTCAGTTCCTGGACCTACATGTCAGCTCACAGCTGTCTGTAACCCCAGTCTCAGGAGAGCAGACACCTTCTTCTGGCCTGCCTTCAAAGGCACCAAGCATATGGTGCATAGACGTACATACGGGCAAAACATCCATACACATAAAATAAAAATAAACAGGTCTTTAAAAGAAGGAAAAAAAGCAAGCAGGCAAACAAAACCCACCTGACCTAGACTGTTGGCCTATCCTATCTTGTCTTTTTCCTTCTAGAGATGGGGGAGAGTGTGCTTCCTCTCCCCAAAAGGCTTCTACTCAATGCTGATTGGCCGCCAATTTGCTTGCTCTTAAGTGACCCTGGGCGTGCCTCTTCTCTGCCCTGAGGCTTCTTTTCTGTAAAGCAGGTGGGAGGGGTAAGCAGGCCCTTGGCTTTTCAGTTTCAGGTGATTCAAGAGCTGTGGTTCTCCACCTTCCTGATGATGGGACCCTTTAATACAGCTCCTCATGTGGTGACCCCCAACCATAAAAGTATTTCATTGCTACTGCATAGCTGCAATTTTGCTACTGTGATCAATCATAATGTAAATATCTGTGCTTTCTGATGGTTTTAGGTAACCCCCGTGAAAAGGTCGTTCAACCCCCAGGTTGAGAACGCTGTTCTAGAAAGGAATCAGAAAAACCAGCCAGCCCTTTACAGATGCACACATATGTACTTCTTTCCCCAACCACGCAGGGCATCAGATGCTGAGTTAAGGGTCGTGTAGATAGGAAAACGAATGTAAATAACAAGTCACAGGGGACTGCAGCAATGAAAACAACTACCATAACTGTATGCAACAATTTTGACAAATCTCATAGATTCAATATTGGATGAAAGAAGCCATCTATAAAGAGTAAATACCATCTGATTCTAGTTAGAATTTAAATCTCAGGCTATAGAGACAAGAACAATTCCATATATATATATATATATATATATATATATATATATATATATGCACAAACCTTGGGCTATATGGATGAATCCTGCTTTTAAATTCTCAAACACACACACACACACACACACACACACACACACACACACACACAAACACACACATCTGGAGCAAACCTAGGACCACACTTCACAATCCTTTGCAACTGCAGTACCACTGACCTGCACTTTCTGCCCATTTCTGGACTCTATGGGCTAAGAGAGATCACCCTAGTTTAAAAAAAAAAAAAAAACCTAGAAACTTCTCTGAAAGGAGCTACATCAACATTGCACTTGTAGGAAGAACTTCTTAAGTATATAGACAGACGTTGGTATAGGCATCTTTACTAAATGCGATCTGCCCCACTGTGTTATCTTGTTCTTCCCCATCAACATGTATATCTCCAAACTCCTGCACTACCATCATCTCTTGAGAGGATTACTCCACACATCTGTCTCCCATTATCAGTTAAACCACCGCCAAAAATTACTTGGGAGACCAGCCTTTGGGCAAGCCTGTGTGGGATTATCTTGATTGCCTTAATTGAGACGGGAAGGCCTGCCTGCTGAGGGTGGTACCATTCCCTGGGTTGTATAAACGGGGCGGGGGGGGGGGGGGCGGGGAAGGGACCTGAGCAGCAGCATGCATCTGCTGCCCTCCGCTTCCCAGTTATGGATGCGCTGTGACCACCTGCGCCAAGCTCCCGCTGCCTTGACTTCCAGGCCATGGAGACCATACCGTAAGTGTGAGCTGAAATAAACCCCTTCTCCCGCCCCCCCCCCCTCAGTTGCTTTTGCCAGGGTATTTTTATCACAGTCAGAGAAAAAAATAACTAAGATACCAGAGTTTTGAGCAGCCCTTCCTAAGGAGGGACATAATCTACCCAGCCATGGTGTAGGTGATGGACAGGGCATGAAGGGAAAGCCAAGAAGCTATTCCAACAGTGCAGGCAGAGCATGTTTGGTGCTTTGCCTCGGGTCATCGTGGCAGGTGTGGAAGTCAGAAGACAGCATTTGTATAACTTATTTGCAACGTTACTTATGGTTTGCATTGAATGCATCGCTAATGCTTCCTCGGTGGATTTTTTCACTTTGAATTTTAGTGAAAGGTGGTGATAGGAGAAGCTGAGGAAGATTTCAGGTTATCGTGGATACAGGGCCGCATAGATCTGAAAACCTAAGCGGGTTCTAGGCCTCTAAGCCTCTGGCGCAGCAATAATTTAGCAGCTAAAGCCCCCAGCCGCTTCTCAGTGACCATGCGCAACAGGCCAGATAAGAAAGAGCCTATGGAAAGCACAGGAGTTTCTGAAATCGAAGCCAGCGGACCCCGGGAATCGTAGTTCACAGCTTCTGCGCAGACGCAGTGGCTCCCGTGGGCTTGCTGCGCAGCTGCTGCGGGACAAGGTTCTGAAAGCTTATTGCGGTGCAGCTGGCTGCGGATGCTGGTGCAGGTATCGGTTTCCGCGGTTGATTTTGGAGCTGCGCGGGTTGGGGGCTCCGAGCGCACACCTTGGGCGGGTTGGGACCCAGAGCATCCCACGGACCTGGCGCTGCGCTGCAGCTGCCGCTGCGGGGGCGTGCACTTCTGCAGCACCGCGCCATCCCATCCTTCCATTCCTCCCTGTGCTCAGGACTAGAAAACTTCACCACCGTTGGTATTTTGAACAGGAAAATTCCTTGGTTTGTTTGCTCGCGCGCGCGCGTGCGTGTGTGTGTGTGTGTGTGTGTGTGTGTGTGTGTGTTCCTTTTATTAGATGTTTAGCTGCGTCCCTGGCTGTATCTCTAAGAACCCTGGTCTTAATAAGTCAGAGCGTCTCCAGGCTTTGCCAGCTGACACCTGTGGGGCGAATGGCCGCTGCTTTTCTCTCTCTCGAGTTGAGAACCTTTACCTGCGTCACATTTTCACAGAGCCTCTAGTGAAGCAGCTGCGCATGTCTCAGTCACTGCGGAGACTCAGGTGCCCAAAGAGATGCCAGGTAACGTGGTGGGCGCCTGATGGTTAGCAAAGAAGTAAATGACATCATGTGTGCTGGGTGTCGGGGCCCTGAGGTGGGTAGTTAACGCTTTGCTAATTGCTATAAGACACTCGTACATCTTGCCGAATAGTGGTACATCTCAGGTCATATTTCCTTGATGTAAGTGATCTGTGCACTCCTGTCCCCACACTGCCCATTCCCATGTCGGTAGATACAGTCCTTTATGGAGTGAGTGAGTGAGTGAATGAATGAATGAATGAATGAATGAATGAATGCAGCACAGGCCAGGCTGTGTGCAAAAGCTCATTTGGGGATCAAAGGGAAGCTTCGCTGGGTGGGGGGTGGGAGGTGGGGGGTGGGGGTGGTGGGGGTGGGGGGTGATGGTGGGGGGGGGTGAGTCAGCTAAGAAGAATCAGGGTTTTGTCTTTGATATGTTTCTTGTGGGATCCCTTTTTTGGTGGTGGGGGTCCTGTGTGTGTGTGTGTCTGTGTGTGTGTGTGTGTGTTACTGGGGATTGAAACTAAGACCTCCACATGCTAGGCAAGTGTTCTACCACTGAGCAATATCTCCAGCCCTAATTCTATTTTGTGTTTATGGCTGTTTTGCCTGCATGTATGACTGCACTGTGTGCTTATCAGAAGAGTGTTGGATCCCCTGAAAGTGGAGTTACAGATGGCTGTGGGCTGCTATGTAGGTGCCAAGAATAGAATCAAACCCCGTTCCTCTGCAAAGCAGCAGGTGCTCTTCACCCCTGAGCCCCAAGAGTTGTATTTTGAAGAATGAGTAAAGGATTAGTAAGAGGAAGAAGGCAGCATTCCAAGAGAAGAGGGAGCAGGAATTTCTGGTGTTAAGGATGGGAGAGTGTTGCTGTGGGATATTTCTGTGTGGCTTCAGGGTCCATCTGTGAGGTTTCTAGGCAGATCTCTAGATTGTTCTGTGTGCTCTCTGCATTTAACTTGGTCTTAGTGGACCTCTGAGGACTTCCTAGAAGAAAATGACAGGACCAGCTTCTGAATATTAGGAGAAATCCTTTGGCTACAGCCTGAGTGTGGATTGAAGAGGAATATACTTAGGAGGGTGGCTCTAAGGCTAAGAGCACTTGTTCTTCAGAGGACCCAGGTTCTGTTCCCAACAGCCACGTAGCAGCTCACAACCTTTTTGTAACTCTAGCTTTAGAGGATCCAATGCCTTTTTCTGACCTCCAGTGGCACCAGCACACACGTGGTACACATATATACAGGCAAGCAAAACATTCATACGCATAAATTAAATAAATCTAAAAATAAATGTTAAGATGGAGGGGGGTCTGAGCTTTGTTATTTATTATGTGAAAAGTAAGAGGGGAGGAAATTCGATATTCAAGTATGAAATCAAGTTTCTGAGTTGAGCACCTGGTATGAAGGAAATGTGTGTTTGTTGAACATGTTTGTGACTGAATCATTTGGAATGAGGGGGGGTCTTCCACTCATTTTGTCTGTGAGTAGTATTAAGTCTGAAGTAACTATCTGCTTGCAGAGTATGTTTAATTATCTTTATTGAAACCTTCAGTTTTTATTCTGTAAAGATTCTCCTTTTATGGGGCTGGAATCAGGTTAAGAGCACCTCTTCCAGAGGTCCTGAGTTCAATTCCCAACAACCACATGGTGGCTTACAACCATCTGTAATGAGATCTTGGTTCCCTCTCCTGGTGTGCAGGCATACACACAGGGAGAACACTGTTAACATAATAAATAAATAAATCTTTAAGAGTCTCCTTTTAATAGACTAGTTGGTTGGCCAGAGCTTTTCAATGCCTCTAAGTATATAGGTATGGGGGTGGGGAGGTGTGTGTGTGCCTGTGTAAGTGGTAAAAGCCAATGTTTTCGGGATTAATAACCTCACTTGATGTCTTTTGTTTCTTCTTGACAGTTCCTTCAAGACTGAAAATTGGATTCCTAGAGGCCTTGGTAGTTTGTTGTGCATAGATAGTACCTGTGGCAGAGCAGACGTACTCAGATAGTCTAAAGAGGACTGGATTCCTGCTGGTGACACGATGCAAGCTTACGTGCCCCCAAACATGATGACAGCCATCTCCCCAGACCCTCCAGCTCTGGCTGCAAGCGAGCAAAGCAGGGTCCCTAGAGTGGATACCTCCAGGGTCCACGGAAGGACCTTAAGAGGACATGCTGATGACCTAGATTCTTTCAGGCAGAAGTTCAGGTGGTTCTGTTACTCACAAGAAGAAGGACCCAGAAAAACCCTGAATCAACTCTGGGAGCTCTGCAAGCAATGGCTGAGACCAGACATTCACACCAAAGAGCAGATCTTAGAGTTCTTAGTGTTCGAGCAGTTCCTGAGGGTTTTGCCTGGAGAGATGAGGGTCTGGGTGAATTCTCAGCGCCCTGAGAGTAGTATGGAGGTGGTAACCCTGGTAGAAGATTTGAACCAAACACTTGAAGAAAGGGAAGGTGAGAGTTACAGGTGGAGAGTGGGGGTGGGGGGAGGGTGGGAAAGGAATCCCCTAAGGTTTGAAGTAAATCTCTCAAAGGAAGCAATACTGCTGAGATTGAAAATTAAGAATTAAAACTATATATTCAAAGATGAGGTAGTCATTTAAGACAGTGGTTCTCAACCTGTGGGTCGACATCCCTTTGTGGGTTGTATATCATAGGGGTTGCATATCAGATATCCTGCACATCAGATATTTACATTATGATTCATAACAGTAGCAACGTTACAGTTATAAAGTAACAACGAAAATAATTTTATGGTTGAGGGTCACCACACCATGAGGAACTATTAAAGGGTCACAGCATTAGGAAGGTGGAGAACCACTGATTTAAGGGAAACATTCCATTTCACAGATTACTTAAATCAGTTCTGCATTGTCGGGTCTCTTAGAGGCCCTAATCTTGAGAAATCAGCATGTTGCAGTGATAAATCAGAGAGCAGACAGCCCACATCTTCGGCACACCAGGTGCCTGTGTGACCACAAACTGAATTGGTGGTGGTAAACAGTACTTCCTCATAGCTATCTTCGAGCTCGTGGTAGAATCCATTCTGTTCACTGCTTCTCCAAAATTCTGGCCTCTGTGTGGAGGCTCCTGTGATGAAGGATCCATTGCTAGCAGCAATCTGTAAGAAAGAACAATCTTAAGTTGATCCTCTTACGTCTTATTATTCCCCTTATCTGAAAATGAATCATCATCTAAGGATGTTCAGTGTGCTTAGTCACTGAATTCAGGCTCCTGCTGGAGTCTTGACCCAGTCTCCCACCCCTAAGATCTCAGTGAGCTCACCCAGGGCCCCACCCTGTGCTGCTTCCGCTTAAACACACAATAGAGTTTTCTTGCTTCTTAAGTATTATCCTTAGGAATCAGCCGGCAATCCCAGAGGCACAGTCGAGGGTTTTTTTGCTTTGTTTTGTTTTTGCCAGATTAGTGCCTTTGCTCAATAAACAAAGCTGTAAGTAACATCTGTAAGTTCAATAAACAGCTGTAAGTAACATTTGAGCAAAGCTGGTTTATCTTGATATATCTTATATATTAGAAATATTTTTAAACTCTTTATTGTACAAAGTAAGTATTTTACAGCTAAGGGTCTGTGGAAGGAAGAAACTCAGTTTTTGTGGACTCAGGAACTGGAAAGATATTTTGATGAAATAGTGGGGTAAAGCCTATTTTCTATCTCTGGTGGTTCTGTTTTAAAGAGAAGAAAAACACTGATTTCTGAACTCTCTTCCAGAGAGATGAAATAGATGTTTGAGTTTTCATCCCTCCTTGGCCTGCAGCCCCTATAACCCTTGTCATTTCCCAAGTGACTAGAGCAATAAATGCCTCTTTATTAAAATATTTGTCCTTTCCTCCTTGGTTCCTGAAGCCTGTTCCAGAACCCTCGATAGATGTAAAAGTGAAAGACAGTTGTCTTGTCATTTAGCATAGGCCCCTTGTGGCCATGCCTGAATTTAATGAGATGATATTTGGAATGTCCAGAAGTAACCACCCATGGAGGCTGATTTCCAATGCAGCTGTAGAGGGATGGCACTCTCAGCCCCCACCTCTAGAGAGGAGAGGGGCTGAAAGTTGAGATGATCACCAATGATGTCATGAGTCATGCCTACATGATGATACTGTCTTACAGAAAGCTGGACGTATGGGGATCCTGGAGGGTGGTACACCTGAAGAGGGCATGGCGAGAGTGTCTATCTAGGCGTACCCAGGCTGTGACTAAGTTTAGAAGCTCTGAACCTTTCTCTCTAGGCTTTGCCCTGTGCAGCTTTTTCATCTGGCTGTTCATTGTATCCTTTCTAATAACCTTTATAATTAATAGACAAATAAACGCTTCCTGTGAGCCATTCTAGCAAATTAATCCAACCCAAGCGAGGGGGTTGTGGTGAGTTCTGACTTCATACAAAGAATGGAGCTGAAAGACCAGATTGATTTTTTTTTTTCCCTTCCCCAGATCTTAGCACTCAAGATTCTGCTGTTTGCAAAGCGGAAGATTTGGGAGAAGAGGAGATGGTGGCTGTTCCTCCAAACACGGAGCCACGTGTGAGTTCTCTGTCGCTGCTTTTTATTCTTCAGTGGAAACTGAGCTATTAGTGAGGAAAATGAAGATACAAAATCAACCAAAACAACCTGTAGGTCACTGTTTACTTGCTGTTTATTGGGTTCACGGACCATAACATAATGCTGAGGCTAACCAAAATTACTTAAGGCCCGTGAGATGGCTGGGTGATGAAGGCTCCTGCAGCTGAGACTGATGACCTAAGTTCAGTCCCCAGGTCCAACATGGTGGAAGGAAAGAACCAACTCCAGCAGGACGTCCTCTGACCTCCACAGGCATTCTGTATCACACTTATTACCACCGTCACCCCCAAAATGTGTTTTGCAGGGGAAGCATTTACCAAAACCCAAAAGTTACTCTGGACAAAATGAGTCAGGTAGAAATAGAATTGTATTTCCCTAATATGGTAAAGAACATCTCCACCTGGGTAGAATTGGGAGATTAAAAAAGCAGGGCTCACAATGTAAGCAACAAGACCAGTGTTTCCTGACCATGGCAGTCGACCAAGTGAAATGAGGCAGAAATAAGATGGAAGTGTGAGTGTGAGAGACAAAGGCATATTATTACAGACTATGTTACTGTCGGTTTGGGAGGCCCTGGGATCAACTGAGTAAGACTAGAACTCATGCAGTAGCTGGGAAAAACAACCGGTTACGGATCAGTAAGTTTCCAGTACTAGTAATCACCAGTTAGGAAAAAAATTACAGTAACAAGTAGTAGTTCTCCAGTAGAGCGATAATGAGCTCCAGGGGTAGGTCTGCTTCCGGGTTCCTGGAACTTATGAATATTATTTGCCGGAAGAAAAATCATTCATTGCAAGTGTAGTTAAGCTATGGGCTTTAAGATGACGAATGGGGGCTACTGAAATTGGAAAGATGGTGGTGGTGTGAGCCTTTAATCAGTCTAGCACTCAGGAGGCAGAGGCAGGAGATCTCTGAGTTCAAGGCCAGCCAGGGAAACACTGTTCTGAAATAGTAATAATAATAATAATAATATAAAATTGGAAAGTTCCTGAGTCAAGATGGTTGGTTTCAAGCCAGTGTGGATTCCAAACAAGTCTCAAAGGAAAAGAAAAAAAAGTGACTTTAATGAGTTAGTATACTTGTTTGTGAATGTGGCATACTTGTAAGCATGAGTATATTACTGAACCAGATTCTCTTTGAGTGTACATTTTAAAATATTGCTGCACTCAGGTGTGGCAGTGTGCACCTGTAATCCAGTACTAGAGATGCTGAAGCAGGAGGATCTTGTATGAGTTTGAGGCCAGCCTGGGCTGAAGAGAGAAACAGTCCCTGAGTAATAACAAGCATTGCTACTTCATGTGAATAAAGTTTGTAACACAGCAGCTATCATGTATTTAACTATTACCTGGAGTTAGCTTACAGTCTACAGATTTGAGGATGGGAATGTCAATTCATACCCTCATTTATGATTTTCTTTTTAATCTTAGGAGTTAATGTGTTGGGGTTAACTTGATCAGTGTTAACAATTTAGAGAGGTCTTGTACAGTCGATATTTAATGCTAGATTCTTAAGTGGGAAAGGTCAGAACTGTACAGTACCCTTGTTCTATATTTCTTATAATAGTTGTATGGACTCTGAAACTCTCCAAGCCTCGACTGGAGAAATGGCTTAGCTGTTAAGAGCACTGGCTGTTCTTGCAAAGGACTCCAGTTCAGTTCCCAGCACCTACATGGCAGGTTACAACTGTCCTCCACTCCAATTCCAGAGGATCCAACACCCTCTCCTGGCCTCTAGAAGCACAAGTCATACATGCTGTATACATACATATGCACAGGCAGAACATTCACATACATAAAAATAATGAATCTTTAAAAAATAAACAAATAAAACATTTGCCAGACCTGGTTGGGCATGAAGCTGTAATCCCAGCTACTTGGGAGGCTGAGGCAGGGGGAACTCAAGTTTAGAACTTTGTTAAGCAACTTAGTGATAAACTATCTTGAAATCAAAAGTAAAAAAGGTTGAAGATGACAGAGCACTTCTCTAGCATACACCAGGCCCTGAGTTCAATTCCCAGCAAAACAAATACACACACAGACAGCTTGGACACAGACTGCTTATATCCTAACCACTTCTCTGAACCCTTAAGGTCTGTTGGGAACTAATGCAATGCAAAGATGCTGTGCTTGGTCTTTTAGGAACCTGTAACATTTGAGGATGTGTCTGTGGACTTTACCAGAGGAGAGTGGAAGATGCTGGAGTCATCTCAAAGGGAGCTGTATAAGGAAGTGCTGCTGGAAACCTTGAAGAACCTAGAATTTTTGGGTAAGACATCTTCTCTTCAGGATCTGGCATCTAAGAGGGTAGTGGCTTCATCCCCTGTATCATCTGGAAGATAATGTCGTGTGACTGTTTTAGCTGTATCTGCTGGGCATCCAGGACCTACCATGACTATTCCTAAAAATGGACTCTGAAAGTGTACTTTCTGTGATTTTTTTTTTCCTCCTAAGAAAGCTTTTGCTTCATTGATTGGAAATGTGGAACATAATTTTGTTATCCAAAATGCCCTCCCCTCCTTCCTCCTTGGATTCCTCCTCTGTATTTGATGACGTCTTTATCTTCCTTAGGAAAACAGGCTAAATCCGAATGCTAGGTCGTCTTTGTTCTATGTGTAAACAATCATTTTCTTTTCTCTGAGCAGGCCTTCCAGTTTCCAAATTTGAATTGATTTCCCAGCTGAAGTGGGTTAAGTTGCCAAGGGTACTGGAAAAAGAAATCTCAGAAGGCCCCAGACCAGGTGAGTTGGTAAAAGGTAAGAAGGAAATGAAAACCATGGGGGGAAAAAAATCTTTGAACTACTGGGTGGATGGAATGCTAGAATATAAAGTTGACTGATTAGAAGAGAGCCTTCATCTTCCTGGAATCTTCATTTTAATGATGACAATATTTGTTTGGGTCTTCCGAAAAGTAGATGCCAAGATGTGACTCCCCAAACTGGAGATTTGTTGGGAGAAATCAAGAAATATGGAGGAGGAGTTTGCATTTCTGTGAGAGCATGGTGCAGGCAGGTGAAGCCTCTGAGTGAGAGAGAAGGAAGGATCTTAAGCTGAAGATGGTTTATAAAGTTTAGGTAAAGCAAAGAGGAGGCCTAGGGCAACAGTCCCATGAGAGGGACTCCACATTTCACAGAAACGGTTCCGGAGTGTCTGTGTACTTCACCATTGACCGTGAGAGGTGAATGGTGTCAGTGTGTATCAGTGTGTGTGTCAGTGGCCCTGATGTGAATGCAGCAGCAGGGGCGGACAGACAGTCTCCCCACAGGAGATCTGAGAAGCACATTATGGACACTTGAAAAACCAATTATCGCCGGGCGGTGGTGGCGCACGCCTTTCATCCCAGCACTCGGGAGGCAGAGGCAGGTGGATCTCTGTGAGTTCGAGGCCAGCCTGGACTACCAAGTGAGTTCCAGGAAAGGCACAAAGCTACAGAGAAACCCTGCCTTGAAAAAAAACCAAAAAAAAAAAAAAACCAATTATCAAGACAAGTGTGTTAGTAACTGAGTGCAGGCCATACGAATGATACATAAAAGAAATTGTGGAAGCTTGTGGGATTATAGACGTAACAATGGTTTGTTTCTAGATGCCTTTTTTACGTTAATGAGTGCAAAACTGGTACATGTTCAGTAGAAACTCTACTTGACCGGCAGTGTGTGGTCTGCTACTCTCTTGCACTGGACAGCAGTGTCACCCAGTACAGTCACGCTCATGTGACCCCATGCTTCATAGCCCCAGAGTATGATGGGTGTGTTGAATACATTTTTACTTAGGGTATTTTCAACTCACAATGAATTTACCAAGACATAATTCCATTGTAAATCAAGGAGCATCTGTATAAAGGAACAATAACCGAATTAGCATTTGAACTTTTTATCTCAAAAGGTAAGTGGGAATTCAACCAGTAAACATGTAAAATAGTTCCATTTTTGTTAGTAAAATGTTCATATGTTTAAATGTATAGGTTAAATATTTATGTATTTTTAACATCTGGAAAATATTTATGTTAATAGTTATGTTAGCTTTTATGTTAACCTTCGATGGATTAGGTTTCTGTTCCTTTATCTTTCTCTGCATCTTCCTAAAATTTTAAAATAACTACATTTAATATATATTTTAAGTATAAAAATGCCATTACATATATTAGTACCTTTATTCTTTAATTGAATTTTCTAAAGCATTTTTTAGTCAGTCTCTCAGCTGTTTCCATTATAATTACATAAATAAAAAAACAATCACTTTATTATGTTTAAGTAACAATTTAGAGATTCATCCCCAAAACCTGTTTTTACATTGTTTTGCAGTTAAAAAGCCATTGACATGAAGAGAAAGACAGACTTAATAATCATTGAACTTACACAAATTAATAATGAGCTAGCAGTACATAATTTAGAAGAAATGAACAAGCAACTTGTACAGACAACTGACAAAATTAAAAATGTTAATGGCTTGGGAACATGAAAAAGTTCAGACTTAGTCACTAATGGGACTATCCATTTAAAGCAACAATACTGTTACTAATTGACTATGTAGATCATTGATTAGAGGTAAATATTGAGGCATTTTATTCCTTAAGTATTATGTAAAAGTTAAACACATACAGACACAAACACACACTGGACCTGAACCCAGTGTCTCAGGCATGCTAAGCATACATTTTACCACTGAACTATACCCCTAACTGTGGAGACATAATTTGATAAACATTCAATAAATTATATAGGATGGATTATCATGTAACTGATTAAAATTATCATTTTCAGCTGGGCGGTAGTAGCACATGCCTTTAATCCCAGTACTCAGGAGGCAGAGGCAGGTGAATCTCTGTGAGTTCAAGCCCAGCCTTGTCTATAAAGTGAATTCCAGGACAGCCAGAGCTATTACACAAAGGAACCCTGTCTTAAAAAAAAAATCATTTTCAAAATTTACCAATGATCTTGGAAATATAAAAGAAAAATAACAATACATGGTAACTTTTTATATTCTAAACTATATGGAAAAATTTACATAACTTGTGAGTAATAGGATCTTGAGTTTTATAATTACCTATTAAAACAATTAGGAAGATGATTATGTGGTTCCCCCCCCCCCTTTTGGTTTTTGAGACAGGGTTTCTCTGTGTAGCCCTGGCTGTCCTGGGACTGGCTCTATAGACCAGGCTGGCCTTGAACTTAGAGATCTGCCTACCTCTACCTCCCAAGTGCTGGGATTAAAGGTGTACACCACCACTGCCCTACTGATTACGTGATTTTACGATTAACCAGGGGAGATGTCTTAATAGGTAAAATGCTTGCTATTCAAGAATAGAGAACCAGGTTAGAATCTCCAGGACCTGTGAAAAAAGCTAAGAATGAACTTTATGCCTATAATCCCAGCCTTGCAGTAGACACTGGTAGATTTTAGACTACTATTGCCTAGCCACACTAGCTGAAACAGTGTGAGCTTTTGGCTCAGTGAAAGACCTGTATTTAAAAAAAAAAAAAAATGGAGAGTGAGCCAGGCAGTGGTGGTGTACACCTTTAATCCCAGTACTTGGGGAGGCAGAGGCAGGTGAATCTCTGGGTTCAAGGCCAGCCTGGTCTACATATTGAGTTCCAGGACAGTCAGAGCTACAAAGAGAAACCTTGTCTTGAGGGTGATGTGTGAGGGGGTGGAGAATGATAGAAGATACCCAACATCCTCTTCTGGTCTCTACATGTATGTACGTGAGTATGTGCATTCCCACATATGCACATACCAGGAGGGACACTAAATAGTGGGGAAAGCCAGCATGAATAATATACTTAATAAATGAATTCAAAGTTCTAAGAAAAACACAATATATAGTTTGGGGGAAAGCTCCATGTTAAGTACCAGACTTTGAACCTTTGAGCCTGTCAGACTTATTAAAATGCGCTGGAGCATTGCATTTTAGGTATTAGGTTTTAAAATTCAAAGAATAGGATTAAGGGGACAGTGATCTAGAAAGAACAATAAATAGATGTCTGATTAAAATGTTTCAGGAGGGCTGGACAGATGGCTTAGTTGTTAAGAGCACTGGCTGCTCTTCCAGAGGACCTAGGTTCAATTCCCAGCACCCACATGGCAGCTCACCACTGCCTGTAATTGCAACTCCAGGAGTTCTGAAACCTTCACACAAACAGGCATGCAGGCAAAAACACCAATGCACATAAAATAAAAAATAAAATAAATAATTAAAAAATAAAAACAAAAATAATGTCTTCAGGATTGTTAGGGCCAGATTGTGGTGATGTTTAAAATCTTATCATAGGTGACACTGTGTTCGTGAAGTGATTGGGATTTTCCATAAAAATTAATGGCATTTGCCTGCTTTGAGGAGTGGCTGTATAATATGGGGATCAAATTAAAATATGGCTTTAGGGTCTGGAGAGATGCTTCAGCGGTTAGGACTGGCTATCCTACCAGAGGATGTGGGTTCCCAGCACCCACATGACAGCTCACAACCATCTGTAAATCCAGTTTTCTGGCCTCCACAAACACAGCATACATGCATGTAGTGCACAGGCAAAACACTCATTCAAAATAATACAAAGAATTTAAAATATGCCTTTTACTACTTACAATACATGTGACTTTGAACAAGCTTCTGACACTGTGTGTCCCATAAAGTACAAGATGTACTTCATCAGGCTGTTGTGAGGACTGAGTGAAACCATGCAAATAAAGTGCTCATCATGGAACCAGACATTTGGTAATCGTATAAAGATAAATTTTGGGTATAGAGAAAATAAGTAAGTTTGACCTTGGTACAGAAATTGGAAAGAAGAGTAAAAATCTGAAACTTTCCTTACATAAAGCATCAGCTTTTCATTTTTTACAATATTTTCCTAGCCTGTCTGTTCATCTTGCTTTCCTATATTATATCTTGCCTATTTTATAAAGCTGTAATTGATAACTAAGCTATATCTCTTAAAATTATTACTGTGTTCCTATATCAGTCTCAAATATCACAGCTTCCTTTATTGAAAATGGGAAATACTTGCTTTGTTATCTCTTCTAGAAGCTGAGTCTAGAAGTGAATTGGATGCCTTTATGGAAGACTTCACTTTAGAGAAAACAGTAGAATACTGCTTCAGTGATGATGGTTATGGCTTGAAGGCAGAATTCCAGAAACGACATGGCAAATCCAAGAAAGATCATAGCAAGCACAGTAGCCATCAGAGTAAAGAAACTCCCTCTGGAAAGAATTCCAAACAAACTTCTGACACAATCAAACATCGGAGCACCTGCTTAACAAAGAAGTCTCAGAGGTCTAAGGAAGGCAAGAAACCCTACATCTTTCATTCAGATCTTGTGAACCGCAAAGAACACAGTGTAGTAAAGTTAAGGAAATGCAGTGGAAATGAGAAAGACTCACGTCACTCTTCATCTCTTAGTGACCATAAGAGACAACCAAGAATTGGTTCGTTGAGTAAGACCCAGAAGTGTAGTAAGTGTGGGGTAGCCTTTACTCAAAGCTCATGGTATCGTAGTAAAACCTCTCAATGTGAAAAATGCCAGAAGAATTTATTTCAAGGTGAAACCTCAAATAAAGACAAAGGACCCGAAACTGAAGAGCCCAGTAAGTGTAAAAAATGTGGGAAAGCTCTTGGCTATAGTTCAAAACTCTCTGTGTGTGTTGAGTGTAGAAAAGCTCACAGAGCTAGCCCATCAGTTAAACCACATAAAAAAACTAACAAAAAAGGAAAGTCTTACAAGTGTGATGAGTGTGGAAAAAGTTTTTCTGGTTTAAACGCTGTCGATATACATCGAAGAACTCATACTGGAGAAAAGCCCTATGAATGTAAACACTGTGGGAGATCCTTCAATGACTACTCATCATATTGTCAACACCAGAGAATTCATACTGGAGAGAAACCATATAAGTGTAATGAGTGTGATAAATCCTTCACTCATAGCTCCTCTCTTTCAAAGCATCAAAGGATACACACTGGAGAGAAGCCCTATAAGTGTAAGGATTGTGGAAAAGCCTTTAGACAGAATTCTTGCCTTACCAGACATCAGAGAACGCACACTGGAGAAAAACCATATGTGTGTAAGGATTGTGGATCATCTTTTAGCCTTTTTAGTACGATCATCTATCATCAGAGACTTCATGCAGGAGAAAAACCTTACAAATGTACCCACTGTGATAAAGCCTTCCCTACTCATTCCCGCCTCAGTCGTCACTTGAGATGTCACACTGGTGAAAAACCATACAAATGTAAAGAATGTGGGAAGACTTTCAGACAGAGTTCATCCCTTAATTTACATCTCCGAAGTCATACTGGAGAGAAACCCTACAAATGTGATTATTGTGGAGCAACCTTTACTCGGAGCACAATCCTTATTGAACATGTAAAAACTCATACTGGCGCACAATATGAATGTAAAAAGTGTGGTAAGAAATCTAAGAGTCGGTCAGCCCATCTTAAACATCAGTGTACTGAGTAATTCTGGGACTGCAGTGAGTGGAGGGTAGGTGAGTTCAGATTGTGCCCTTATTTAAACACTTGACATGTAAACTACCCACATCATTGACTAGAAGCATCAGCTTCAATGGGTTTACAAGTAGGAATAGCCTTCTTCCCCCTTGGTCTCTTCTTGAGGGTGGCCAGTGTTGATTAGAGTTGGTAAAGTTAGGTTGACGTGAAGAAAGCATGTGAAGAGAAATGATTCTGAAAAGCCAAACTTATGTTTGAAAGACTCTTCGGGGATTTCTCTCTTTGGCTTCCTTCCACAGCCATATAGTATAATGGAAAAGGACATGCCTGAACTTTAATAACATAGGCTCTATCCCCATTTGCCAACCAACCATTGTGTCACCCTAAACAAGTCATTTGGACCCTCTCAATTTTAGTTTCTTTACCAGTAGAGTGAAGAGATGACATTAATGATTTCTAAGTTTTCTTTTTATCTCATATTCTGATACTGCAGACAATAGTTTGAACATCTTTGACTTATTGGAATTGTCATGTCTGGTAGACGCTTACTCTCTTACAGAATTGTGGACTTCTAGATTAGGGAGAATATGGAATGTTCGATGTAGGGTACCTAGAATGTGATAAACAGACAAGTCAGGGAAGCTCAGTGGAGTTTGCTTTCAGGGAATGTTCAAATTTGCACAAATCTCCCCAATTATCTTTTGAGTTTTGCCTCAGTGGATTGAGAATTCAGAGAGCTTGTACCTGAGCCAACTCAGACATGAAAGTAACAGTCCTGGGAGAAAAACCAAAAGCAGCTGTTTTGGATGGATTATTCCCCCTGCAGCAAGCACAGGCCCTTGCACCACGGTGTCAGAATTCTGGGTGGCAAAAGTCACAAGATGCTAGATTGAATCAGATTGGGTCCTTAGATGTGTTCTAGTTGGTTTGTAGGGTCGGGTATGTATGTACACACAGTTTTCACTCTTTGGAAATAATGAATTTTGTGTTTTAAAGAAAGTAGAGTTTGTGTTTAAAAATGTTCAGGAGCTGACCACATTAGCCTACTATGTCTATGGAGTTCTCACTGGTCCCGCATGTGGGTGCCACTTTAAATGCCAGGTTTCTCTTATACCTGGCTTTCTTAATGCAGGCATGTGATATTTTGTTGCCCCGCCATTTGAGAATACATACACTAAAATCTCAAGGGACCCCCACTGAGTACAAGTAAAATTCAGGAAAAGAACTCTTTTGTGAAATGAGACTTCATGGAGTGGACTATATGGGTATTGACGGGTTGATGGAAACTTAATTTCTAACTGAGAAAGGAATTCAAGACCCTGAATTAGTTTGGGTCTCAGATCATTAGATTCCAAAGGGACTTGATTGTGTTATAGAAAAAATTCCTGAAGTTGAAATTTGAGGCAATTCCTAGAGAGAGAACTAAGCCAGAACTATGGTTTTACAGGTATGAAGAATCTCCAGTGCTGATCTAAGACTCAGGAATATTTGCTGATGTGCAAATAGTTTGAAATGCTACCTCTTGGTATAAGGTTTTTGGTTTCTTCTGGATGGCTCCTTCCTCCTTATCCCAAAGTCTAAAAGAAAATCAGACAATATTTTGTGATAAATTGATCAGTATAGCTGTTGCCAAATGGACCAAGTAAACACATTCCTGACATCAAAGGAACATGGCTTGTAAGAATCACTCATATGGGATTAATAATTTTCAGAAATGATATATTTTATTGAAATCATTAATGAAATGTATAAAACAACTCTTGAGAAGAGATCTGTTCCAGGGTATTCGAGGGAATTTCACAAGAGGCTATTTTTATCCCAATCTCAGTTGGGGATTAGAAACAAAACTTATTTTTTTTTAACATTTTTATTAAAATATAGAACACATAGGCTTAAAAACCAAGATGATTCAGTGAGTTTTCATCAGTTCTAATGAAGTGCACATTCATTATCATAATCCATTTTTCAGAACATCACCCTATAAGAGCACCTATTGGATCCACCCATTTATACATAATTCCCACTCTCATCTCTGACCCCAAGTAAACACTAACCTACTTTGTATTTACAGAATGGCCTTTTCTAGTCTTTTATATTGGCCTTTGTTTCCCCGTTGACATCACGTTTTTAAGTTTATGCATGTTATAGCCTATGTGACTTCTTTCTATTAAAGTGTTATTTGTTGGTGTTTGTTGTTAAATGATAGTCTATCATATGGATACTTCATCCATTTGCCTGTGAGAGGACATTCTCTTCTTTCCCCCTAGGGGTTGGCTGCTAGGAACAACACTGTGAATATAACATAAGTCTGTGTAGACATTAACTTTGTTTTTCTTGGTAGACACCTATAGGTAGTTTCTGGGTCATGTAAATTTTTGTTTGACTTTTTAGGAAACTGCCAAATTGCTTTCCAGTGTGACTACATCACTTTAAATTCTTGCCAGCAGTGTGTGAATGTTCCATTTTCTTTACATCCGTGCCAATGTCTAAAAAATCTTAGTCATCCTGGTGAAATGGCATTTCCATATGCTTCTAATTTGCGTTTCCCTGACAACTCATGTCATCATTTGCCCATTACTCAGCCTTTCACATGTCTCCTTTGAGTCTTTCCAAATTCCTTATCTATGTAAAAGTCAGGATGATTGACTTATAACAAGTTCTTTATCTACACACAGTCCCTTATCCAGTGTGAACTTTCTATCACCGTGTGCTAGAAGGAAGCTACAAAACCACTGCAAAATACTTGGCAATGACTAATAATTGCCTGAAAGGCATTCAGTCTGGCCTAGTACCCATATACTGAAGTCTATTTTTAGATTGTTAGGTCATCTAAAGGCTTTAAATTTGTGACTTATGACTCCTCATAGAACTTTTCAGAGCTTTATTTAGCAATTTTTTTGTTTATAGTGATAAGTATTTTAATCAGCTCTATGACACATTTTAAAACAAAGTCCTTGTCCTTTAGAATGTTTTATAATGAGCTTCTATATAGAAATTTCTCTCAAGGCACAGGTTAAGACAGAGCCCCTGTCAGTGAATTTACTTTATTCTTTGTGCTTTAGAATTATTTCTGATATAAAATATGGATGCCATAAAATGTGCCATTTTGGTGGTCTTGGTCGAACGATTCTGCGGTGCTCATGTGCAGCCGTCATTCATTCCGAGCGCTTTCCCACCCTCCCACACTGAACTCCCTGAGAATTCCTTCTCCGCTTTCTTCTCCCGCAAGCTCCTGGGCGTCACACTTCTGTTTCCTTTCCACAGCTGGCTCTTGTTAGTTCCTCGCATCAATAACAATACAGTTCGTGTCTTTTCATGTCTGGCTCATCTCACTTGGCATGTAATATTTTCAGGCATTCAAGGAAGTCTTCAGTTGGATTTTCTAGCACAGGAAATCTTAAACTCCTGTGTCATCCAGGTAACATTGGTAAGAGGAACACAAGGTCATTACGTGTATTCTGTCTCGCTGGCTCCGTAACTTAGGCCCCTGCACATGCGTACTGAAGAGGTTGAGACTATGCACTGACTCGTCTTAGGGGTCTGCTTTTGGAAACGGAGTAAGAGCACTTACAGCACCAATCACACACTGTCATGAAGCAACGAGGACAAACTATCTCTTGCTTTAAAATGACGACCTACCTGGTCTTTAAACTCAGCTATAATTTTATCTTCTTGAGAGAAACTAATCTTTTTGGTTTTTGTTTTTTGTTTGTTTGTTTGTTTGTTTGTTTGTTTTGGTTTTTCGAGACAGGGTTTCTCTGTGTAGCTTTGCGCCTCTCCTGGAACTCGCTTTGGAGACCAGGCTGGCCTCGAACTCACAGAGATCCGCCTGGCTCTAACTCCCGAGTGCTGGGATTAAAGGCGTGCGCCACCACCACCAGGCTTTGTTTTTGTTTTTATCAGAGTTGAGGACCAAACCCAGGGCCTTGCACTTGCTAGGCAAGTGCTCTAGCACTGAGCTAAATCCCCAACCCTGAGAAACTAATCTGTTTAGCTGACATTCCCTAACAGATGGAGAAAAAAATACTGAATAAATCAGCAGTTTGAGATTTGAGGCAATGAATTGGCTTCTCTTTGTAAATTTGGGTGTTCTTTGAGACAATATAATCAAAGTTTTCCTTGGGCAGTGTCTTACACGGATCATCTAAAACTAAAACGTACTTAAATTTTCAAATTTTCAGTCAATTGATTTTTTGATAATAGAAATGTATATATTTTGTGAGAAATACGTGATCTGCTCCTGTTTACTCTGGGCAGAATTGTTAAATGGTGTCGTGTTTTCTGTTTTAGTGGGTATTTTTCAAACTGTCATTTTCTTCCAAAGTGTTTGAGTGAATTATAAGAGTTGGGTTTTCTTTTCTCTACCCACGGTTCTGTTTGCACGTGTGTGCATGTGCAAGAGTCGAGCTGCTGTGTCTCTGGCACGCTTACAATCTGAAACCTGTTCAAAGTCCTTAAAGGTATTTCGGTTAGAAATTTAGATTTCATGTAGTTAGTTTTTGTGGATTTTTTTTTTTTACTAAGTTGTTGAGCTGTAGATCTGCAATATCAGCACTGCCTACTGTGTTGTCTTTAATATTAGCACTGCCTACTGTGTTGTCTTTAATACTAGCACTGCCTACTGTGTTGTCTTTAATACTTGAACTTGGTAGCTTTTGTGTCTGCCGCTGCTGTTGCTGTAAATTGCAACTGGCTTTCATCAGTGAATGTGCACTAGACCCTCTTTTAGTCCCCTCTTTCCACTGTGCCACTTACAGTACGAGCTTCTGTGTCTGCACTGAATTCTGCCTTAGAAATATGCCTTTGACTAAAGTTTAAATATTTTTCCATGTATTTTTGCCTATAGAATAATCACAATTCCAATAAGAAGCACCTTGATTTATGGTTGATTATACATGTAATGCTCTGACTTGTGCTATCTGCATAACATGTTGACGTAATCTATTATGATATTTCATCTGTGCAGAGACGAATATCATTTGTTGGTTTATCAACGCTGACTAGATTGGTGACGTGTTCGTGTGTCACTGAAAAATGCACGCTCCTCTGCAATGCTAATAGTGTACTGTGCGGTGCAATAAAGTGAAGTATAGTTCTACTAAAACAATAAAGTTGTATTTAATACAGAATACCTCCTGCTCTGGGTTTTGTTTGGTTGGTTTTGTTTTTGTCGAAACAAGGTTTCTCTGGGTAACTGCCCTGGCTGTTCTGGAACTTGCTCTGTAAACCAGGCTGGCCTCGAACTCACAGAAATCTATCAGTCTCTGCCTTCTAAGTGCTGGACTCAAAGGCATGTGTTACCACCACCCAGCCCTGCTTTGGTTTTTAACTTTAGATTTTTTAAAATGTATTTGTGTGTGTACATAAATGTACCTGTCATGTCACGAGTGTGGAAGCAAGAAGACAATATGACAATTTTTACCTCTCAATAAAAATTCCCTCTCTCCCCCACCCTAACCCCTCCTCCACTGTTTCTCTTCAGAAACAGCAGGACTCCCATGGATATCAGCCAACCATAGTATATCAAGTTGCAGTGAGACCAGGCACCTCCTCTATTAAGGCTGGATGAGGCAATCTGGTAGGAGGAATGGGTCTCAAAAGCAGGCAACAGAGTCAGAGACGGGCCCCTGTTCTCACTGTTAAGAGTCCCACAAGAAGACCAAGTTACACAACTGTAACATATACTCAGAGGGCGAGGGTCAGTCCCATGCAGGCTCCCTGGTTGTCATTTCAATGTCTATGAGCCCAGGTTAGTTGGTTCTGTGGGTTTTCTAACGAACCCCTGAGACCACTGGATCCTACAATCGTTCCTCCTCTTCCACACGATTCCCCAAGATCTGCCTAATGTTTGGCTGTGGGTCTCTGCATCTGTTTCCATCAATTGCTTGGTAAGCCTCTCTGATGATATCTAGGCTAGGCACCAATCTATTAGTGTAGCAGAATATCATTAGGAATCATTTCACTGATTTTTCTTTTTTTGCCATGCCAGCGAGGGCTTGCCCAAGCCGCAGTAGCTCGGTTCAGTAAACGATGATTTCCCAGGCTGACCTTCAATGTTGCTGCCCTGCAACATTTTGTAATTTTGTAGCCATTTCCATCTTGACCATGTATGTGACCACCAAGTTCCAAGAGTCAAGGAAAGGGAGAAATACAATGATGCCCGTTGCTTTTCGACTCTGACCTAGTGCTGTGTCCTGCTCACCGTAGTCCTGGAAACCTGACTGGGGAGGTGAGGGACTGAAGAACGAACACATGAGTACAGAAAAGCTGGAGTCAGGTGGCCATGCCCGCTCTGCTGGAGCACCACCAACTACCACAGCACTGCAGAACCTCAGCATGTGTATAACGTACAGAGTAGGGAGGAGAGGTTAGCTCGTCTCAGGAGGAGGTCTCTCTAGGCCACCAGTCTCTGGTTGCCCTCATCCGGCAGGAGGAAGCAGCAATTGCTAGTGTGTGCACACACTGGTTAATAATTCATAAACACTCATACTTACACAGACTGTCACCATTCGCACTGGGACCGGAGAAAGGCTTTGCCATACCTCTGAACCTCGCCAGGGAAAGCTTTGCCGCTCTACTGGGTCTGAGGCACTTCGGCCCTGACATGGTCATGCCCATGTCAGACAATACACATTCAAGACTTCATCTGCACTTTCTACATTCAGTCAAGTCTTCCTCAGCTCCCCACAGCCTAGAAACAGCTTAGGGCCATTGGTCATACCTAGGTGACAAGGTGCTCCAGGGCACTACAGGGAGCTCACAGGGGTGTGTGTCCCAGGATACTTTTAACATCTGAGGGGCCTGGAGAGACTTTTCAAGTCAAAAGTCTATTTTTTAGTCCTCACAGTTGTTACATCTTACTTTCATATATTAATTAAAATGGAATTGCATCCCGTCCCCCTTCCCTTTCTTCCAACCAGCCCCTTGAAATCATTTTTCCTTGATCTCTCTCTACCTTAAGCCTGAAGACAGGGTTATCACTGAATCTAGAGCTTGCCTGTACTGCTCGTCTGGTTAGCCGGCTTGCTTCGGGGACTCCATGGTCGCTACCTCTTGCATGCTGGGATCACACATGAACCAACGTGCCTACCCGGCTTTTAAGTAGGTTCTGGGGATCCAAGTTCTCTAAGAGCAATTTACCCACTGAACATCTCCCGGTTCATAAAGCCCTTACTTGACAGTAAGAAACTAGTTTCTATTGTCCTTGTCTGAGCAAACCTATCTGGAGCCATCTGTCACCCCTACGCCCTCTCCTGCAGATGCTCCTTACTCCCCTCCAGCTAAGACTTCCTCTACCTGTCACTCCTTCTACTACTATGCTGCAGGCCTCAGGAAAACGTAATGGAATTCAGCTACTATCACAAAAGCTACTGCTTGGAAAGGTCAAGGACTTTTCCGAAGGTCAAGTCATGGCTTAAGAAGTCTTGGTGATATTTTAGCTTTTGTAAATATATTTGCCAATTCCTGCAATGATTTTCTTGTATGCTGTGCATGCTTCCAAAAACTTATAACAATGTATTTTATCTGAAATACCTGTCAAGCATCCAAGGCCAAATGATCGCCTGATTTAAGGCAAGTTAAGCTCAGACCTTCCATTCTCATACAGCCTTAGTGGTATTTGTACTAACATTATAGACTCCTAACATTTTACCTACCCACCTCTAGGAATGCAGTTTGAGCACATAAATTCCCTTTTTCTGATATATTAACCAATTTTAGCTCTTAGTTGACCTTCTCCTTTACCTCTCCCCTTTTGGGTTGTAAAAAAAAGCCTGATGGTCACTGTCTGAGGAAAATTCTTGTCTGCCTTTATGACCCTGTAGGAATTCAAGCCTGGTGAATTTGCTTTGGCTAGAGCACAGCTATTGTATGAGTAAATAACTGTAAACCTCAGAGACTGAGAGAGGATTTTGACTGGAGAACTAGAAGAACAAGATGGAAGATGAGGAAGAGCCAGATGGGGAAGAACAAGATGAGAAAGACCAAGATGGGGCAGAACTAAGATGAGAGAAGTAAGATAGAACTTAGAGGGGACAGCAGATCAATGCAGAGAGAAATCAGGCAAGAGAGGAGCTAGACACGAGAACAGAACTGAAGCTGTAGATAGGATTTTATCCCGGAGAAATAAAGCAGACGGACTAAGAGCTCGGTGTACTTAGATTCTTTCCCCAAAAATAACTGGCACTGTCTGGAGCTTCTCTTCTGGGCCCCTGGGAAGGAGATTGAGGCTGGTCCTTAATAATATTCGAGACTAGTCTACTTCCTACGTTGCTGTTTGCCTTGCCTTGTTTGGCTCCAACAGCCCCAGTAGGCCCCGAAACCAGACACTAGCTCTACTCTGGCTCCGACCTCCACATCAGCTGTATCACGCACCTCTTCAACCTGCCTGGGATCCAACTGGGTCTTTCATTCTCCTGTGCACACTATGCTCACCCTCCTTGGGACCACATATCTCCTAAGGGTGACACTCTGCATAGGCTGCCTGAATTTTGTTTTGTTTTTTTGTTTTTTGAGACAGAGTTTCTCTGTGTAGCTTTGGTTCCTGCCCTGAATCTCACTCTGTAGACCAGGCTGGCCTCGAACTCACAGAGGTCCGCCTGGCTCTGCCTTCTGAGTGCTGGGATTAAAGGCTGTGCTCCACCGCCGCCCCAGCTGTTCTTGGGTCCATGCTCCATTGTTCTGCTGTCTGAGTCCTCACCAGGCCACCCTCCTGTTCAAATGCCATCCATCCTCACTCTGCTTGGACTCCAGTGTGGGGCGTTTACCCAACCACCCCCACAGTTCCCCAGAGTTTTCTTGAGTGCAAGCAGCAGGAAATATTAGATAGAAGGATTTATTGCGGAGAATCTTGCGGAGATAAACAGATAGAAAATAAAGGATAGCCTCGAGAGGGCCTGGAACCTATTCCAACCGGCCCTGACTGTCTCTGCCCCAGGGTTTTTATAGAGACGCCAGTGGGTGGAGCAAAAGGCCTCCTCTCCCAGCACAGCCAAGTGCAGACCATCTCAGACACCTGCACTCAGGCCCGTGGTCCTAATCATCCTCTATGCGGACCTGCTGGGTAAAGCCACGAGGAACCCGAGAACGGGCTCCCACAGGTCCCCCTTTCTTAATATATAAAACATAACTATTAATGGCTTACAGCAATCTCCAAGCTGTTACACCTCCCAGTATGGGAGTAGAGGATGATATAGATGGCATTTCTCTTTTGAATTAGGTCCAAGGTGACTACAGCAGTCTTAGCTGCCTCAAGCCCTTTCTAAGCCAAAAACTCTTAAGGCGACTACAAACTAAGAATCCCTTAGCTTCATCATTACCATTAACAGGTTAACATAAATATTGCTATACATAGCCACAATTCTCTCAATCTTACAACTCAAAGCAAACTCTTAACAGAACCATTTGAATTAGCATATATGGTGCTATATATAGTTAACAATTTTCTCCGTCTTACAACTTTAACTCAATCATTTGAATTTTCTTGCTAACAGAACATAGGAAAAACTTCAATGTATTCACATCAAACTTAAATATTTTCTTAACTCCACAAAACCAGGGTGCATTAATATCAATAGGGTAAATATAATTTCTGCAAACATAATTCAATCTCATAACTCCTCCTTTTCTTTATAATTTAAGCAAAATCTCAAGCCTAATTAGAAAACCCAAACTTTTCCATTTAAACAGTTCCATTTATAACACAAAACCAGTTCTGTAAGTAATTTCATTTTTACATAAACAGTTCCACAAAACAATTCATGAATCACCAATTAATAAAGCATATATGCATACACAAAACTGCATCTTGATTCTAGGTAGAAATAATAAATTTCTTCATTTAAACAGTTCCATTTTTAACCCAATTCCAGAAAACAGTTCCTAGGTCATTATAAGTAAACTCAAAATTGTCCCATATCAATGAAATCTCTATTGTTCATTTCATTTCTTAAGTCTTAAAATTCAAACGATAAATTCTGGTACTAGCCTTCCAAATATGAAGAAATCCATAACCAAAATCTTTTTGTAGTTTTATCTCATTTTAAGTTCAAAAAGTTCAAACAAGAAATAAATTCTGGTATCAGGCTTTCATTTCCAAATGTGAAGAGACATTTTTCAACCAAAACTTTTT